CCCCAAAACCCCAAAACCCCAAAACCCCAAAACCCCAAAACCCCAATATTAATTAATATTATTGAAAAATGTCTAACTTGAGACACACAATAAGCTGGTAAGAATTTTTCTGTAATTTATTTGTTGAAACTTAAGAGATAGACTTATTCCAGAGCTTGAAAGATGGCTTACTTACAAGACAATAGTTCTAAGAGTAATATTTGATATAGCTCCAAAACAAACTTCTCAATTGATAGGGCAATAAATGAATCAATTGCGCAAGCTAAAGAAGGGATATATGCTGAAGAAGGGAAGGAAGAGGCCAAGACAGCTATATTTTAACCCACATGCTGAGCAGATGGTAAGCTCTTATTTACTGACCTATATAGAATGAGGTTCCAAATACTAAGACTAATTCATCCTTGCCCAAGAAAACACTTGAGGTAACATAAAATTATAATGATTAGACCGATCTACCATTTGGGTTTGAGACTTTTGTGCAGGAGCTTGAAACGATCTCTGAGGCAACTATTACAAAAGATTCCCCTCTAGATCAATCAACTATTGGAATATCTTGAACTCTCATAAAAATGTATCAGACTGCTATTGAAGTCTACTTTTGGAAGAAAGATAAGCCAAATTACAGGAGGTTCAAGTCCAAACTCCATAATTTTCTAAAATAAGCCTCATATGCAGAAGATTGCTTTCAAAAGGCTAAGTTTTAGACAAGAGATAAAAGGCAGAACCCAGACAATGGTCAAGTCCTCGCTCGATCTGGACGATGAAAGATCAGTGCAAATCAAGCCCTTGACTAATCAGGAAAGATTTGAGAAAATAGGTCTACAAAAACTAGTTGTCAAGAATCCAGAAGAAGTTACAGAAAGTAACAAATTACACAACAAACCCTCCCCTGCCTCACAGAAGAAAGCCAAGGTAGAGGCTTTGAGTGATGATGCAGAGGGCTCTGAATCTGCAAAGGAGGCAGCCAGTGCAAGTCAGGATAAAAGTTCATCAAATCAGACCTCATCCTCGAAAGTTCGTTCAGATAAAAGTATTGGAGAAAAAGCAACGAATGGAATATCAGGTTTGGTTAGAATATAATGGTTTAGCTCCAACACTCCATACTTGCAACCAGAAAGAGAGGGAAGTGAAGTTCAAGAATATTGACATCATTCCTCTCGGAACACCTCAGGAGAGAATTGAGAAACTTGTCGGTCCCAAAGAAGATCGGTCGTCAGATATCCAAAATCCTGAAGGAAGAAGTCAGCCAAAGAGCAGTGATTTCACAGAGTCTGAAAGAACTGAAGAGACCCCTGCTAAGACTATCCAAACTGTCGAGAGCGAGGATGCTCAAGAAATTCTTTATGAGGAGTATCCACAAGGTGTACAAGAATTATTTCCGAAACAACAGGAAGATACTAGTCAGCCTCAGATTTCTGAGGGAAAGAGCAGTTCTCAAGAAGATTCCCATGCTGATGGTTCTACTGAAAAGGTCAAAGATAGTCAACCTGAAGATTACATTCCTGAACCTACTGAAGAACCAGAGGTTGTTGAAGAAGATAAAGAAGAAGTTAAACAGGAACTCGAGTCTGACAATAATCCCTTAGATTCACAAATCAAGGCCGGAGATAAAATAGATCAAAATATTCCTGATAAAATAGAGCAGCTAGAAAATCCTACCCAAGAAGTTCTTCAAGAACTTGGAGAACAAATTGAAGAGGTGGTCAACGATGCTAAAGAAGAGGAAGATCAACCAGAAATTCAGATCCAAGAAGCTGAAGCCCAAGAAGATGAGATTCAGAACATTGAAGGTAAAGAGGCTGATCTAGTTCAGCAAGAACCCCAAGAGTCTGAAGTGCAAGAAGTTAAAATCCAAGAAGATCAGCTTGAAAATAATGAGATGCATCAGATAGAAGCCCAGGATATTCAAGCTCAACTAGATGAGCAAAAAGATTCTACCGTAGAAGAAACTGAAGATCAAAAGATTGAAATCGATGAACAACAGGATGTAGAAGATACTAATCAGGAGGAAATCATTGAAAAGAAAATTAAGCAAGAAGAACCAACTACTGAAGAAATACTTGATGAGGAGCAAAGTCCAAAGATACCTTCATCAATCGAAGATATTTCAGAAGAATCATTAGAAGTAGTATATGATATAATGAGACAGATCGCCATTGGTTTCAATAAGCTAGTGTTCGACGAATCTGAAGAATCGTCTAGTGAAAGTAGTGAGCAATCAGTAAATGAAGTCGCCCCACAACCTCCAGTCCAGACCCATATTGCTCCTAAAAGGCGTCCCAAAAAGAGGGCGGGAGTTGACCCACACCTTATGGTAAGGGACTTTTCAAAAGCTGATGAAAAGGCAGTCAGGGCAGTGAAGATTAACATTCTGGAACAATCAGAAAGCTTAGCTGCTAAATTATCTGATAGAAGGAGGAAGAGAAAGCATCCTTACTCAAAGCGTTATTCTATTAGGAATGGGCATCACAAGGATGACGCTTTGTCAAAATCCTTCCTTGGAAAAGAAATGGAGGATACTCTCGCTACAGATTCTTTGCAAAACTTCGGACTGGATCAGCCGAATTCTTTCCAAGTCAACTCAGGAGGAGAGAATGATTTTAAGGAAATTTTCAACGTGTTAGCTGAACTAGAAGATGACAGTAACTTATTCGGTGACATTAACAACCCTGGGCTAGACTCGAAGGAGACCACTCCTTCAGATGACAAGAATGATGAGTACGAACAGAAGAAGGAAGAGTTCCTCGATCAATATAAGCAGAGTAAAGATAGAGAAATAGCTGAGATTAAGAAGACTTATGACGATGAAATCGCTAATAAGAAAGCTGAAGGCAACAGCAAGCTTATCAAAGGCATGATCAAGAATATTAAGAAAGAAAGAGATGCAGCAGTCAAGAGAGTCAAGGACAATTTTAAGAAGAAAAAGGATGAGTTTTTGGGAAACTTGAGGGAGGAATATGGTATTCAGGAAGGAGAATAAATTTGATTTGTAAGAAATTTCATAAAATTTTGACCTGCCCTTGCAAGTTAGAAGGAGGGTTAATATCTTCAGGTTTGAATAATATTTTTTGGCACTAGGATTTGTATTTTCGAGTTTGGAGGCCTTTATTTTGAAAATAAATTAGCCTACCTTTAAGCTATATCTCATACAGTCACAATTTTTGCTTTTCTATACCTTAGTACACTCTTTCTTCTTATATTCAACATAAAACCTCCAGATTTAATTAAATTCCCAACTAATCAGACCAAAGAGAAATTATCGATAAAATATATACTAAAATTGAATCAAACCCATGAGCTTCAACATAAAAAATCCCTTAAGGGGTTTTGGGGTTTTGGGGTTTTGGGGTTTTGGGG